GCAGGGCTGCAGCCTCCCACCCGCCCCTCCCCAGGACAGCATCAATGAGGCCTTGATTAACACCATGGATCTGCACTACCAGAGCAATAGTGAGGTGAGCGGGATGTGCCCACCGCGGCCCTCCTTGCTTCCCCTCCCCGTCCCCACCTGTCCTGAGCAGGGGGTGAACGGATGCTCCCAGGATGGGAGGTGGCAACCTTCCTGCCCGGCCTCAGTTCCATGTGTGAGCTAGGCGTGGACACGGGCACGCACGAGCGCCGTGTTTTATGCCACGGAGAGGAATCCGGGCCTGAGTCCTCGCGCGTGTGGCGCTGTTGGCAGGAAAGCCACAGCCTCCATTGGCAGGCTTCCATCTCCCAGAGTCTCACAAAGATTGAGAGTCCTCAGCCAGGGCCACAAACTGGACCTGGGGCTGCAACCCCCAGGGGGACCCTGAACAGCCCCCACCCCACCCCTGCAGGAACCTGCCCTTCCTGAGACGCTGTGGATGGAATTGCGCTCCAGAGTCTGCAGATCCTCTGTCCCTGTTCTGGAAGGGGAGGGTCCAGAGGCCTGTGACCCCGAAGAGCTTTTGTGACAAAGCCCTGAGGTTCTTTCTAAGGCTGCTATGCTACCTGCACCAGAAGTGGCAGTTGGCACTGGCCTGGGTGCGGGAGGTGGCTGCTGGTGTGCAGACCTTTTGCAGGGCGGTGGAGGTCATTATGCAGTGTTCTGCAGGAGGTGTTGCAGGATTTCTACTATGGTGTGACACAGGTCTTCAGGAGCACCATGCAGGCCTGATTAAGGCCCCTGCTCCCCACCCCTGGCCAGCCTCCTGCTCCAGGTCTGACCCATTGCTCTGGCTCTAGTGTCTTAATAAAAGCTGCTCGAATCATGAAGCACCTGGGTGGCTCAGTGGTTGAGCATCTGCCTTTGGCTCAGAATCACAACCCCCCCTCCCCGGACTCCCGCATCAGGCTCCCTCCCTGCAGGGAGCCTGCTTCTCCCTCTGCCTATGTCTCTGCCTCTCTCTTTGTCTCTCATGAATAAATAAATAAATCTTTCAAAAAAAAGCAAGTTGGTTGAATCAAATCTCAAATCGGGTGCTTGTTGGGTTGGGACCAGGGGTCCCCAGTGGTTGGCATGGGGCCGGGGCATGTGTCACATGAACCTGAGCTGGGGTCTCTTGACCTCTCTAATCTGATCTATACATGGGACACTGGTTACAGCTGGTCATGGACTTGTGCTGAGGACTGGAAGGTTATGGCCTTGCTTGCTGCATAGTAGAGACCCTGAATCTGTTTCTGGAGCAGCAGGGAGCCCAGGCCTGAGGAGCTCTCAGTCCTCATCTCCTGCCCTGGGTCTTCATCCTTCCCCAGGCCACGGAAACTCCATTCACCTTCCAAGATCAGAGACTTTGGGTTGGGGGGCACAGAGAGGGAGGGAGGGGGAAGGAGGATGGACCCCTGGCTGGGCCCTGCAGAAAGGCAACCTAGGGCCTAGGGCAGGGCAAGAGGCCCACAGGCCACTCAGGCCTGTGGCCTAGTGTGGGCCTACAAATGCTGGAACTGGGGAGAGGAGGCCAGGGCTGGAGGGGTGCAGCCAACTCATCATTTCTTTTCTTTTCTTTTCTTTTTAAGATTTATTTATTTAGGGGATCCCTGGGTGGCGCAGCGGTTTGGCGCCTGCCTTTGGCCCAGGGCCCGATCCTGGAGACCCAGGATGGAATCCCACATCGGGCTCCCGGTGCATGGAGCCTGCTTCTCCCTCTGCCTGTGTCTCTGCCTCTCTCTCTCTCTCTGTGTGACTATCATAAAAAAAAAAAAAAAAAAAAAAAAAAAGATTTATTTACTTATTTTTGTTTGTTTTGTTTTTAATTTATTTATTCATGATAGTCACAGAGAGAGAGAGAGGCAGAGACACAGGCAGAAGGAGAAGCAGGCTCCATGCACCGGGAGCCCGACGTGGGATTCGATCCTGGGTCTCTAGGATCGGGCCCTGGGCCAAAGGCAGGCGCCAAACCACTGCGCCACCCAGTGATCCCGATTTATTTATTTATTAATGAGAGACACAAACTGAGGGAGAGAGGCAGAGACATAGGGAGAGGGAGAAGCAGGCTTCCCACAGGGACCCTGACGTGGGACTTGAACCCAGATCCTGGGATCACGACCTGAGTCGAAGGCAGGCGCCCAACCACTGAACCACCCAGGCATCCCTCTTTTCTTTCTTTTTTTAAAATATTTATTTATGAGCGCGGGAGATAGCACATACCCATGGCTGCAAGAGTGTGTGGGGAGGTGCAGAGAGAGTTTCTTTCTCATCTGCTGAGTTTGGAGCCCAAAGCAATTCTGGACTAGACTTCCTGAGATGATGACCTCATCTGAAACTGACTGAGCTTCAACGAGCCCCACCTCCCTTTCCCCAAGCTTCTCCATCCCCCACTGAATTCCTGCCTCTGGCCCTGCACATAGATTTTGCATTGAGACTGTCTGGCAGCAGCTGAGGTGCAGCTTGTGGGGGGGGGGGGCTCCAGGGCCCTAAGAACAACGGGCCAGGTGGGAAGGGGCTTGGGAGCCAGGGGCCTCAAGGTCTGGGGGCATTTCTGTGACTCAGCATCCCAATTCCCTGGGTCCCAATTCTCTGTCCGCCAGCTTCTTCAGACCCTTTGGATCATAGGAATAAACTCTTGATTCTTAGAAAAATCACCTCCCTGGAGGCCACCTGTGAGTGCAGCAGGAGGTAATGGCTAGACCATACATAACCTGATCATCTTCAAGGACCCTGGTTGCTCACAGACCCTGACCTGCAGGAAGAGGACGAGGGAGTACTTATTGACCATGGCCCTTTCTTTCCAAGTCAAAAGACCCCCCAATATGTGGGTTCCTGTTGACAGAGGCCCGTGCAAGCCTACATCTTCTTTTACTTTCAGGAGAAACTTCTGACAGCCTTTTACACAGGAAGGCCCATCTCATGCCTGGGTCCCCAGCTCCAAGGGGTCACCCAGTGCCAGGGCCTGATCCAGCACTTACTTCCCCTTGACCATGTCCTCTTCCTACTTGCTGTCAGCATCCAGGTTCTAGATCCTTGCCTTGCATTTTCAAGTGACCCTGTGTCAAACTGCCACTTCATCTTATGACTTCACACTGAACTCCCTTGACAAAACCCTCCTCCTGTGCTGAAGCCATCAGGGGCTTTTATGACCCCATGGCCCCATCAAGCTTACCATCATCTGGAGCCTAGACAGCTTCTAGGGTCTTCTAATTGATCTCCCTGGTTTTAGCTCTTTCAAGCCAAATCTATCTAGCACCAGGGTCAAAGCAATTTCATTGCAAAGTGAAGTAACTCACGGTCTAAAACCCTCCCCTCTTCCTATCACAAATATACTCTGACCTTGGCCTATAAGGCCCCCGTTTGTGTCATTGGGTTCCTACAGAGCTCCCCCATAGACAGTGTTCTTCAGCTGCCTGCTCAGTAGCTCAGGACGTTTGCACATACTGTTTGTTCCCTCTGCTGGGGGTGGCCTTCCCCCAGTTCTTCTCTGGCTGCCTCCCCCTTCTATTTCAGGCCTGTTCTCCTCAATAGCCCAGCACATTCCCTAGTACATAGTAGGTACTCAAGAAATAATAAAGCCTTCAAATGATCTGGGTCCTCCCAGTTCCTTACTCTCATTCTTTGTTGACTCAAAAAATTTCCTTCTCTGAGGTCTTCCATTAGTCTGATTTCCTCTATGACATCTGGTGACTTGCTCTACCCTATCTAACTTTCCTCCCAACCCCCAAAAGCATAGACCTTCCCCAGGCTCAGAGTTTCCCACTCAGTTGTGCCCAAGAACCATCTCTACTTTCCCAGATTTGGGGCCAAAGCTTCCCCAAGTCCTGTGAGCCCCTGTTGACAAGTTCACTTTATATTCGAAGCATCTGCTAAACAGCAGCTATGTGTTAGGTGGAGGGACAAAGACAACCTAGAAATAGAATATGGGTAAAAAGCCACAGACAGAAGCAAGAAGGGTGTGTGTGCATTCTGTAGTTGAGGGAGGCGGTTTTCTTTCCTGTAGCCTTTTTTAAAAAGATTTATTTGGATCCCAGGACCCTGGGATCATGCCCTGAGCCAAAGGTAGATGCTCAACCATTGAGCCACCCAGACACCCCTCTTTCCTGTAGTCTTAGAAGTGACATGATTTTAGGGATACCTAAAAAGGCAGACACTCAACTGCTGAGCCACCCAGGTGTCCTGAATAAAGTCTTTTCTTTTAAGGTTTTATTTATTTATTCATTCATGAAAGACAGAGAGGCAGAGACCTAGGCAGAGGGAGAAACAGGCTCCCTGAGGGGAGCCCGATGTGGGACTCAATCCCAGGACTCTGGGATCACGACCTGAGTCAAAGGCAGATGCTCAACCACTGGGCCACTCAGGCATCTCCAAATAAATAAAATCTTAAAAAAAAAAAAAAAGTCACATGATTTTAAACCTGTCTACTAGTCTGGAAAAAAATCTATCCTCTAGAGTGGAGAACAGGCCAAGATTGTCCGGTGGGTAGGAGGGGAAATTGGCCAAACCAGGTTTGGGTTTACAGGATTATGGGTTGTTAGGGCTCTCCAGCCCACGACCATACCTGGCCACCAGGCAGGTTTCATTTCATCTGCTAGCATCTTCACTTTGAACTGGTCATACCTCCATTCCAAAAACAAGGTTTCCCGCAATAAGCCAGGATCTGGGATGTTAATTTTATTCCATTTTAATTAATTTAAATTGCCACATATGACTAGAGGATACTGTATGGGACAGCACAGATTAGGGGCAGACTCCAGAGAAGGAAGAATTATAGGGTGGCATTCCTTGGCCTTACTCACAACTGGCTCTGACAGCTGGCACACCTGTCACACACCCCTGACTCTGGGCCTTTCTGGGTGTAGGGGTGGTGGTGGACTCCCTCCAGGCCTACTTCTTTTTTTTTTTTTTTTTAATTTATTTATGATAGTCACAGAGAGAGAGAGAGAGAGAGAGAGAGAGAGAGAGAGAGGCAGAGACACAGGCAGAGGGAGAAGCAGGCCCCATGCACCGGGAGCCCGACGTGGGACTCGATCCCGGGTCTCCAGGATCCCGCCCTGGGCCAAAGGCAGGCGCCAAACCGCTGCGCCACCCAGGGATCCCCGGGCCTACTTCTATCTTGAATACTATGGTAGGTGCTAGGGGTAGGGAAGGGGAAAAGGCATCCCTGTCACAGCGGTGACGGTAACAGCGTTTGGATGGATCTCGAAAAAATAAGAGTCATTTTTCAAGTAGGCTGTGTTACTCTAGGCACTTTGAGATGCACCCCCGGGGCCAGGGAGACATGCCTCCGGGGAAGAACCAGCCTACAGGGTTGGCGGAGCGGTGGCCCAGGACACCAGGGAGAGGTGCGCAGGGCAGGCCTGGCGGAACCCAGGCAAGGCTAGTACAGCGTCTCACGGGCGTGGGTTCTCAGGTGGCGCAGCAGGTGGGAGTTGCGGCTGAAGCTGCGGCCACACTGCGCGCACGAGTAGGGCCTGGCGCCGGTGTGCACCAGCATGTGGCGCAGCAGATTACAGCTGCGGCTGAAGCTCTTGCCGCACTCCCGGCACTCCTGGGGGGGCTCGGCCTGCCTGGACGCCGCCTCGGCGCCGGCGCCCCCGTGGGTGGCCAGGTGCCGCTGCAGGTGCGCATTGCGCCGGAAGCTGCGGCCGCAAGTCGGGCAGCTGTAGGGCCGCTCGCCCGTGTGGCTGCGGCGGTGGCGGGCCAGGTTGGAGCTGTTTCGGAAGCGGTAGCCGCAGGTGTCGCAGGCGTGGGGCTTCTCCCCGGTGTGGATGCGCTGGTGGCGCGCCAGGTGGGCGCTCTGGCTGAAACCCTCGCCGCACTCGCTGCAGCGGCAGGGCTTCTCACCCGTGTGGCTGCGCCGGTGGCGGGCGAGGTCCTGCGTCTGGCTGAAGGTCTTGCCGCACTGGGTGCAATGGTGGGGCCTCGGGCCACCGTGGGTCAGGAGGTGGCGTGCGAGACCCGCCCGCCGCACGAAGCGCTTCCCGCAGTGGGGGCAGCTGTAGGGCTTCTCGCCCGTGTGCACTCGCTGGTGGCAGACCAGCTGCGAGCTCTGGCTGAAGCTGCGGCCGCAGACCTGGCAGGCAAAGGGCCGCTCGCCCGTGTGCACGCGCCGGTGGGCCCCCAGGTGCTCGCTGCGCCGGAAGGCCTTGCCGCAGTCGCCGCACACATAGGGCCTGCGCTCGGGGCAGGGGCGCAGGCTGCCCGAGCACTCGGAGCACTGGTGGCCCTTGTCCTTGGCGTGGATCCGCAGGTGGCGCTTGAGGCTGGAGCGGCACTGGAAGGTTTGGCCACAGTGAGAGCACAGGACAACGGCCGGCTCGCGTGCTTCGGGCTTGGGCTCGGGGACGCGCGGGGACTCGCGGTCCCGGGCGTGTGCCAGCAGGTGCTGCATGAGGTGGGCGCGGCGCTGGAAGCCCTGCCCGCACTCCGCACACAGGAAGGCGGGCTCCGAGGTGTGCGTCTGCAGGTGTTTGTTCAGGTGTGAGCTCTGGCGGAAGCGGTGGCCGCAGAGGTGGCAGGCGTGTGGCCGCTCGTCCGTGTGCGTGCGCATGTGCAGCTTGAGGATGGAGCTGCGGCCGAAGCTCTTGCCACAGCACTGGCACGGGAAGGAGCGAGCGCTGGGGTGAGACCGCAGCTGGTGCGCCTCCAGGCGGGCCAGCTGTCGGAAGCTCACGCCGCAGTCCGTGCAGATGAATTTCATCTCTGGTTCCGACCTGGAGGTGCCCCCCACCACTTTGACTTCCAGAATGCCACTCTTGTCGGGAGGGGACCCTCCTTCACCGGTGCCACTCACTTCAGGGGCCGGCCCCAGCAGCTGACCATGGGGCTCTTCTGCTGCCCCAGGAACATCTGTCCCGGCCTCTGTTGAGATGCCAATGGGCCAGGCAACCCCTTTGGGCTCTTCTTTAAACTCCTCATCTGGGGTTCTGTTTTCAAACCCTAGGAAAGAAGCAGAAAACAGAGATGGGCAGGCCTATTCCTAGATGCTCCCAGGAATTGCCTTGAACCTCAAGGTATCAAAGCAGAAAGAAACCTGGGATCCTGCAAAGCTGGGAGGTGCACAGAAGGTGAGGGTTTAATAAACAGACAACAAAAAGTTTACTATAGTAACCACTTTTTTTTTTTTAAAGTAGGTTTCCTGCTCAGTGTGGAGCCTAAATGGGGGCTTGAACTCACTAGCCTGAGATCAAGACCTGAGCTGAGGTCAGGTGGAAGTTTAACCCACTGAGCCACCCAGGTGCCCCAATGACTATCCACTTTAAAAGCTCAAAGTTAGGGGCACCTGACTGGCTCAGTCACTTAAGTGTCTGCCTTCGGCTCATCTCCTGATCTCAGGGTCTTGGGATGAAGCCCCGGGTTGGGCTCTCGGCTCGGCGGGGAGACTGCTTCTCCCTCTCCCTCTGCCTGCTTTCCCCCCTGCTTGTGTTCCCTCTCTCAAATAAATAAATATTCAAAGTTAACAGGGTTGATGATTAATTCAGACACAATGAGCCTCTAAAATAAATGAATGAATGACTAATGAAGGAAGAAATGAATGAATCCACATCGAAATAGCCCATTTTTATTTTTATATATTTTTAAAGATTTTATTTATTTATTTGAGAGAAAGGCACAAGCGCATGAGTGCAGGAGGAAGGGGCAGAGGAAGAAGCGACTCCCCCCTGAGCAGAGGCTCTGAGATCGTGACCTGAGCTGAAGGCAGCTGCCTAACTGACTGAGCCACTCAGGTGCCCCCCAAATAGCCCATTTTTAGGCAAAGAGGCCAAAAAGTCAGGTGGGACCTGAGCTTCATTGACCACTCCTGAAACAGAAAGAGCGAGCAGTGGTTGTTAAGCCAGAAGGGCCTCTTACCCAGAGGGTGTGTGGGCCAGACCTTCTTTGCTGGGACATCTTCAAAGGTCAGAGACTCCTGTAACAAAAGGATGGGCAGAGACCCTCGGTGACAGAGAATGGGGCTCTATGACCCAAGGGGGATGAAGAGCTGTTAAGGTTTAAATTAAGGAAGACATGAATTTGCTACAACGCAGAGGCTGAGGGCAACTGGGGCATAAGAACCATCTGGGGTGAGGGTAGCAGTCCAGCTCACCAGCACAGCTGCCAGCTCCTGATCTCGAGAGTTTTCTTCCAGCCATAGGACAGGGCCCTGGGGGACTGTTAGCACTGAGGAGAAAGAGCTGTTAGAAGCCAGACTTACCCTCCACATGCCTCCAGCAGGGCACCTGCTGCCAGGGCCCCTAGGGGGACATTAGCTGCCTCCCATCCCTGTCAGAGAGGGAGGCTGCCTCCTTCTCACCCCACCCGCACATACTGGGCTTCCTAGCTCCCACCTTCCTAGGGTACCAGCTCCTCACCAGTCTCCTGCAGGACTTGGAATGTCATCTTGGGACCTGGGCTCAGGGGTTGCTTGGAACTAGGGGGGTGTCTCCAGGTCTCCAGCTCAGCAGGCTTGGAGGGCCGTGGCTGGGATGGCGGGGGTTCCTTTGGTGGCTCCAGGGCTGCAGTTCCTTCGGAGGGCACTTCCTTTTTGGGGCTGTGACTGGAGACCTGGGAAGAGCCTCCCTGTCCCTCCAGAGCAATGTCTGCACGGGGATAGTTCTTGCCAGTATTAAAACTAAAATCCTGTTCAAAATACATCTGTTAGATGACAGGCAGGCCAGGGGGATAATCCTCGTCCTACTGACTCCCAAGGGAAATGCGACCAAGGAAGGGTGGGAGTCAGAGGAGTTAAGAGGTTAGAAAGGAATTAGCAGAGGGAGGGAAATGGGGTGCACTGAGGTCCCCGTCTCCCTACCCGCCGTCCGGCCCTCCTGACCCCCACCTCTTACCAGGGGCGCCACGGTGGCGGGCTCCCTCTGGACGCCCTCCAGCAGCAGCACCACCTCCTCGCCGTCCCGGAGTTGCTGGCCCTGGAGCCGAGCCAGGAGGTGCGGGGGCAGCACGCTCAGGAACTGCTCCAGCACCAGCAGCTCCAAGATCTGCTTCTTGGTGTGCAGGGCCGGCCGCAGCCAGTGGTGGCACAGCTCGCGGAGCCGGCTCAGGGACGCCCTCGGGCCCATGTCCTCCTGGTACTGGAAGCATCTGAAGAGCTGGTGAGCCACCTCGGGCCGGGGCCTGGCCTGGGCGTGCTGGAGGTCCTCCTGCCCAGCGGTGTCCTCTTCTTCCAGTTTGACGGCTCCAAGCTGCTCTGGCTCCCGGGCAGCCGGGACGGGCTCCTCAGGCATCTTTCAGCTGGGGGATGGCTCACAGTAGCTGGTCCCTCTCGGGTGGCACCTGTGGTATAAGAAATGCCTAACGGTGTGACCTCCACGAGAATCCATTCTCCCATTGGTCAGAGGTAATGGTTCGGAGAGCAGGACGCTGACAGGCAGAGAACACTGTTCTGGCTCTACGTTCCCTCCTGCAGCACTTAGAACCCCACATTCACTCCCCCCCAGGGATCAAAACTGGCATTCCCGAGACAGGACCGTTTAGTTTCCCTGCCTCTTGATGCTGGGCCACGGGGAGTATGCGGCACCACCAAACGTGGGCCCTTGTACCAGCGGGCCATCGCCTGCGATCCAGCTCTACTTTCCCAGCTTCACACTGCCAGGGACGGGGGCATGGTGGGTGAGCGATGGAGTTTACGGTACAAATGTGTAACTAGGAGTAGTAATCCAGAGATTTAATGCACAATATGATGAATACAGGCAATAGTGTGCTGCAATTATGTGGTGTGATAAGTAGCACTCCACCAGCAGTCATACTATTATACATGAGTGTGTCAAAGTACCAGGCTGTGCATCTTTAAGGTACACAATGTTACACATCACATTTATTCAATTAAAAAAAAAGAGAGAGAATAGGGTCCTGGATGGCCTAGTCCGTTGAGCTTGAGCACCTGACTCTTGGTTTCGACTCAGGTGATGATCTGGGGGGTGGGTTGGAGGCTCTTCACTTGTCACAGAATTGGCTTGCGGTTCTCTTTCCCTTTCCCTCTGGCTCTCCCACTTGTGCTCTCTCTCGCTCGCTCGAATAAATACATAAATAATTAAAAACAAACAAGTGAAATGATCCGTTAAGGAAACAACAGAATAATTGCAAATACAGGACATTCCCTTAAAGGAACGGTTTCTTCCGTGTTGTTTTAAAATAGCGCATGTAGGGGGCGCATTGCTCCTGAGGAAACTAACAGCCACGCATCCAAATGAATGAACCTGGACTGACTGCAGCCTGACGTCTTTATTTTATTTTTTAACTTAAAAAAAAAAAAAAGATTTTATTCAATTCTTTGAGAGAGAGAGAGAGAGAGAGAGAGAGCATGAGCAGGGGAAGGGGCAAAGGGAGAAGCAGATTCAGGGAGCCCACTTTGGGGTTTGATTCCACCTCTCTGAGATCATGACCTGAGCCAAAATTAAGGGTTGGCAGCTTATCTGACTGAGCCACCCAGGCGCCCCCGTTGTGTTGCTCTTTCAATGTCTCTGGAAGTTTGAAATTTTGAAGATAATAGGTGTGCGTGTGTGGGTGAGGGCAGGGGGGTTCATGCATCTCATTTCTCCTTGACCAGACATCCTGACTCTCACTTTATGGCTCTAGAGATGGCGCTCAGCAGTCAAGGCCAAAGCCACCAGGTAGTCAGTGCACAGCTGAACACCCACCCAGGGTTCCAATCTCCTCACCAACTGGGGTCCCACCAGAGACAGAGGCCGTGATGAGCCAGAGAGCGGGGATGGGTGGGTGTGTCTCCACAGGAGAGACCAAGACGAAGGCTTACAACTTGCAGAGATCTGTGACTGCTCTGATCCTGAGGAGGCCTCTAGGGGGTTCACTCTTGGGAGCTGGGTGATGGGCAGTGGAGGCAATCATTTCTCTTTCTTTCCTAATTTTTTTCCTAAGATTTTGTTTATTTATTAAAGACACAGAGAGAAAGGCTGAGACACAGGCAGAGGGAGAAGCAGGCTCCATGCAGGGAGCCCAATGCAGGACTCAATCCCGGGTTTCCAGGATCATGGCCTGAACCAAAGGCAGATGCTCAGCCACTGAGCCACCCAGCTGTCCCTCTTCCCTAATTTTTTAAAAAAAGATTTTATTTATTGATTAGAGAGAGAGAGAGCACAAGCACGGGGAGCAGCAGAGGGAGAGAGAGAAGCAGACTCCCCCGCAGTGTAGGGAGCCCCATTCAGGGATCTATCCTAGGACATGCAGATCATGACCCGAGCTGAAGGCAGATGCTTTAACCGACTGAGCCACCCAGGCGTCCCTAAATTTTTTTTAAATTCTGGATTCTTCCTTGGTTTACCCCTCTGGAAGGTGTGGGGCTACTGTTTCCTTGTGGGACTGCCCACATCTACCAACAGGGAGATGCCTTGAGTTCAGCCTCACCCAGAGGACTCAGTTCCCTCCTTCAGCACAATCCAGTGGGCTTATGTCATTCTGAATAGGCCAGCACTTCTGCTCCAGAGTTTTGAGGCACTTTTATATTTTAATTTTGGTCAAAATTATTTTATAGAAACAAAAACCCAAGTTCCAACATCTGTCTGCCTTTCCCCACCCCTTTGCCTCAGGGCTACAAATGAACTTCTTCCAAATCTGACCCCTGACCCCCACGCATGGACAGTCCAAGCAGGGGCAAGGTTGGAAAGCCTCTGGCATCACTCTCCACCACGTAAAGGGGGGAAGGAGAGCAGGGCCGGGCCCCTGGAGGGCAACACATGGGTGTGCAGGACTGCTAGCAATTGCTGTTCTCATTACTACTGAGCAAGAACACACATGGCCACAGCCAACACAGCTATTTGGTCCCATCACTGACCCATTTTATATCTGAGGACACCAAGGCTCAGAGGTACAGGCAAATGCCTAAGGAGCTAACTCGGCCTTGGCAATGCAGCCAGGGAGAAGTCGGCCTGGCCAAGAGCTTTGTTGAGCCCCTTTGTGGCATTGCTGCGGGGCTAAGGGTTCCCTGAAGCTCCTGTTCATGCGGGGGCAGTGAGGTGTGGCAGAAAAGAGGAAATCGTGTTTTTTTTAAACCTGGCCAAGCAGTTCCTACCCCAAAGGAGGCGGATGATAGGGATGCTAAAGACCCAGGCTTTGGGGCAGTGGGTTAGCGCCGCCTTCGGCCCAGGATGTGATCCTGGAGACCCAGGATCGAGTCCTGCATCGGGCTCCTGGCCTGGAGCCTGCTTCTCCCTCTGCCTGTGTCTCTGCCTCTCTGTGTGTGTGTCTTTCATGAATAAATAAATAAAGTCTTAAAAAAAAAAAAACACCCAGGCTTCCATCACGGCCACCTGACCAGGCCAGCCCTCGTCTCTCCAGCCTCCCTCCCCCTTCCTGCTTCTCCATTCTCCTACCTAGCCTCCGAGCCAACGTTCTTTCCCGCATTTGGCATCTGGCCCCACACGGGGCACCTTCCACCCCTGGCACCTCTCTTCAGGGACTGCACCAGCAACCTGTCTCTTGCCGTCTACTGTCACTCTGCCACAATCATGGTTGGGTGTCTCTCTGCCCTTGGCAAGTAAGAACCGCATCTCGTTCAAAACTGTTCCCCTAGTACCTGGAGTGGCTTCAGTGTTTGTGAGTAGAAGTAATAAGACGAAAATGATAACGCCTACCTGGCAGGTGTGATGATTGAGGAAAGCATGCAAAAATGTCTGGTGCAGAGAAGCTCTCTGAGAAGTGTTCGAGTAAACGGGCTTTTTGTATCATTATGTTTTGGTGGCACGAGCAAAATAATAGAACCAATCACGGGTAATCAGTCACCTTATAATAACAGCTGGCAGGTAGGAGTGCAAGGATGTATGGGCTCTCTGCTCAGGGTTGCTTAATCCCACCCCAGCCCACATGGTAAATTATAACTTCTCCATTTGACAAGGGCAAAGACCACGCTCCAGAAGGATGGGTGACTTGCTCAAGGTCACACCAAGTAGAATCAAGATTTTCTTTAAGGTAAGAACACTGATCTTGACCTCTATGGAAAACCTCAGAGGCAGAAAAGGACCCAATTTCCTGCCCCACCCCTTGCCCCATGCAATTTGCCTAATTTTAGCCAGAAGATGACTGCATGAATCAGGAAAAAAATAAGATGCCAAATTCTAGCCCCCAGGCCTAGACACACATTCAAGGGTGCCCGGAACCTCCAGGTGAGGTCTTGCCAAAAGGTTTGAAAGAGACGGAATTTAGGGGAAGTTGGCCAGAGACTCTCTCCCTCCCCCCTCAGTCTTCAAGACAAAAGCTCTGTTCATATGCACATCTGTGGGGGGTGGGAGGCTCTTCAGCCTCCCTCCAGCGTACGACCAGCTTAATCTGGAGCAGAGAGGTGGGGAAGCAATGGCTGGACCTGCTAAAGGTTGAGGTGCTGCCACCAGACCCACCCAGACAGCAGGAGAGCCCAGAGCTGGGATCCTGGGCCAGGAGCCTCCCTTTCTCCCTGGACACAGCCGGCAAGAGATGGATTGGCTTGTTTTTGTTAACCAGGCTCCCTTCCCAGTGCCGGGGTGAGTCGATGAGACCGGCCGGTCCTCCCGGGGGCACATGGAACCTGCCTTTCCCTCCCCAGTGGGTACAGCAAACCCATGTTTCAAGAAGTCCCGCCACCCTCCTTGACGACCTCACCCCGCAGCTTTAGGGCCGCAGAGCTGGCTGGCACGGCCAGCTGGCATAGACCACCCACATCCCCCCGAGACTTTGTTTCCAGCTCCCTAATCCCCCATCCCATTGCTGAGGCCCAGGGTCCCTTTTTCCCTCCAAGCTGCTAGGAACTCCTTATGTCTCTCCTGGCAGCCTGCACCCCAGGCTTCCCTTCAACTCACCACTCGTGGTCCCCACTCCAGAGGTGGAAGTGCTAGGGGTTCTTTGAGGGCCCTAGGGCCAGAGCCAGCCTCTGCCAGACCGGGAAAGGACTCCGGGAAAATTAAACAGGAAGTTTCCTGCTCTAGTCCCGTCCAGGTAATGAAGGGGCTTCCTACAGTTAACCCTTAACCTTCCAGTTTGGGAGTGGGGTGGGGAGAGGGCGGGGCCAGAGAAATGAGGACGGAGTGGCTAATCTGGAATCTAGCCTTGGACCCCGCGAGTCTGACTACCCCTCCAGGTTAAGAACTGCCCGCCTCCTAATCAGGACTGGTCTTGTTCTCTTTGGGGGAGTCTGTCAGCCTGTGTTTTCTGGGGGACCAGAGCTGCCCTTTAAAAATGCTTATTAAACGGGCAGCCCGGGTGCCTCAGTGGTTTAGCCCCGCCTTCAGACCAGGGCATGATCCTGGAGTCCCGGGATCAAGTCCCACATCGGGCTCCCTGCAGGGAGCCTGCTTCTCCCTCTGCCCGTGTCTCTGCCTCTCTCTATGTGTCTCTCATGAATAAATAAATAAAATCTAATAAATAAATAAATAAAAATGCCTATTATGCGTTGGGGCTCTTTGCTAGGCATTTCATTCATGCGACAAATCTTTGCTGAGGTTAACAGGGGGAGCAGGTTCTGACCTCAGAGCGCTAACACGCATGTGTGTAGGAGCAGTCCCGGGTAAGAAGAGGACAGGACCACCCGATGGGGAAGAAGCGCACCATCAGCGCAACCTGAGATCTTCCTAAGAATCTCTCCAGGTGGCTTTTGTCCGGACTTTCCCAAAGACAAAGCAGGGGCTTCCGGGAGGGGAAGTGACCTCACCACTGGCCTTGAGCCCAGCTCGACCTCCAAAGTCAAGCCTTTCCCTTGCCTCTAAGGGTTCATGCTCTTTGCCGCGGGGCCGAGGGCACTTTCCTCCGGTTCAGAGCTCGCGAGCACCACCTGTCCTGGGGACCCGGGCCACCTGCTATGTGGCCCGGGGCTGGGCGTGGGCCGCCCCTCGGCGAGGCCCGTGGATCCGTCGGGGCCACACCCTGCGCCCGCTCTGGCTCCGCTGCTGGATCGTCGTCTTCCTGGGCTTATCTCGTCCCTTTATTGTCTAGCGTGAGCCTCACGGGAATACAAGCTGCTGCTCCGCGCCCTCCACACCTAGCGCAGGGCTGGCGTGTGTCAAGACGGACGAAATGGGCAATGGGCTGGGAGCAGGCCCGCGGGCCCCCGCGCTCGGAAGTGCGCAGCGGGCGCGCCCGGCACCCGGGGCTCCACCTCCCGGACTCTGCCCGCCACAGTCCCCACACCACTCCCACCCCCGGCAGTTACTGCGAAACCCCACCTACCGGCCCGGGCCTGGTAAGCCCACCCTAGGGTGGAGCCGGGACACCCCCATCTCCTGGGCGCCGCCGGGAGACCCCCCATCTCCTGGACGCAGCCCGGAGACCCCACCCCTTGGGCGGAGGCGCCTTCGGCGCTCCCAGATCTGGACTCCTCCCCACGGTCCCCGCCTCCGCCTCCGCCCCCCAGACCAACCTGCGCGGGGCTGGCTGTGGCCTCGGTGGACGTGGCCACGTGTGAGCCCTGGCAGCGGGGACTGCGCTGCGGGGAAGGGGGCCTGGGCGGCTAGGATGGGGAGAACTGGGCTCTCCGGTGAGGACAGGAGTCCGCACCGAGGGCCCGCTGGCTCAGAGCTGGGCGGGGAGGCTCCGCCTTCGGGTTAGCACGGATTTCCAGGCCTCTGACTCCGAAGTGATCCCCCTTTTCTGGAAATGTGTCAGAAAAGCAGAGACCAGCTGGAGCAAACCACCGGAAACAGCACCCGGGCAGAAGGGCCGGCGCCCGCACGGACGCCAGAGCAACACTAGCTTTGGGTGTTCGTCATCCCCAGCCGCTCCCAGTCCTCGGCTCGTCCCCGGCTCCCGGCCCACCGCCAGCCCGCGCCCTGCATTCCCTCGGGGAATGTTCGCTCCCCTCCCGAGCGCGGCCCGGCCCTGGCCCTGGGGACCCGGCGCGGAGCGGAGCGGACAGGTGCTGCCCCCGTGAAGCTTTATAGCTGGGCAGCGCGGGGCTACCAAGCTCGGATTCCTTTGGACTTCTATTGAGTAAAGTGACTTTGCTGAGAAAAGGGCTTAATGAACATTGAAGTCCTTCCATTCCTGCCTCCGCTCTCCCAGCGTTACCCCCTAACAGATGAAAATTCTTGTGAAGTTGCTGAATTGTTACTTATTTCCACCTAACAAGAAGATAAACCTCCAAAGGAGAGACTTGTAATAAAAAATCTATCTGTTTGGGGTATATATATTTCAATATCTCCTAAAATTATTTTGAAAAGGCACACAAACTATTCTAATTGTTACCTACCTTAGAATTCTTTTTTTTTTGAAGTAGCTGGTGTCTAAAAGGCAAAAAAAACGCACTATTTTTTGTTTTGATATAGTAATTCTTTTTTTTATTTTATTTTATTTTTTTTTTAATTTTTATTTATTTATGATAGTCACACACAGAGAGAGAGAGGCAGAGACACAGGCAGAGGGAGAAGCAGGCTCCATGCACAGGTGAGCCCGATGTGGGATTTGATCCCGGGTCTCCAGGATCGCTCCCTGGGCCAAAGGCAGGCGCCAAACCGCAGCGCCACCCAGGGATCCCTCTTTTTTTTATTTTAGTAATTCTTTTTTTAATTAAGTTTTTAATTTTAATTCCAGCATGGTTAACACTCCGTGTTATGTTAGTTTCAAGCGTTTAACAACTTTACTTATCAAATGTGAAGATGTCTAGTGTCAGCCAGTTAGAGCACCTGATGGGAATCTTCCTCTCATCTCTCATCTTCTCAGAGATTGCAAACGAAAGACAAATTTTCCTGTATTTTCTGTTTCCGTAGAATTCCCCCATTTAGGATAATTGACGGCAAAGGGAGAAATCCTCCTCCAGCTCAGGGAAAGACTACTATACAGATCTCTATTATCTGTTGTTAAATAGCCTCTGGTTATTCCAGCGGCTTAAATGCCTGTCTCTGAACCGCGTGTTAAGTAACATCCTCACCTGGAGCTGTAACCGCAGCATTTTCCTCTCGTGCTTGCAGTGAAGGATTGCAGGGTGTCGAGGGCACAGCCCTCACTGAGGACCAGCCCTGGGACAGAGGTGCTAGGGATGTTGAGAGGGGGACACGAGGTGAGCCTTGTGTCAAGCCCCATTATTTCTTTGGCGTCTGTAAAGTTGCACCCCCCATGCCTCTCTGGTCTGTCTCGCTGGCTCCAGAGGCCTGAGCAGTGGCAGCAGAGGCTTTGCTACTTGGCCCCATCCACGTGACTTCAACATCATTTAGTGGAATCCTTTTTCTGCTGCTCATGGCTCCCCCATGTGCGTTAGCCCTGCACCCAGACAGCTCACCCCTGCACCCATCCACAATCACATCTGCTCTCTTCCTTTGCCTTTCTTTTTCTTTTTCTTTTTTTTTTTTTAAGATTTTATTCATTTATGCATGAGAGACACACACAGAGAGAGAGAGAGAGGCAGAGACACAGGCAGAGGGAGGAGCAGGCTCCATGCAGGGGGCCCGATGTGGGACTGGGTCCCCGGTCTCCAGGATCACGCCCTGGGCTGAAGGCCGCGCTAAACCGCTGAACCACCCAGGCTGCCCTCTTTTTTTTTTTTTTCTTTTAATTAAATTATTTATTTATTTGAGACACAGAGAAAGAGCACAAGCAGAAGGAGGGCAGAGGGAGAGGGAGAAGCAGACTCTCCAACAAGCAGGGAACCCAGAGCAGGGCTTGAACCCAGGACCCAGGAACCAAGACCTGAGCCAAAGGCAGACAGTTCACCCACTGAGCCACCCAGGTACTCCCCCCACCCCCACTTCATTCTTTTTTTTAAATTTTTATTTATTTATGATAGTCACACACACACACACAGAGAGAGAGAGAGAGAAAGAGGCAGAGACACAGGCAGAGGGAGAAGCAGGTTCCATGCAGGGAGTCTGATGTGGGACTCAATCCTGGGACTCCAGGATCACACCCCAGGCTGAAGGCAGACGTTAAACCGCTGAGCCACCTGGGGATCCCCAGTAATAAATAATTAATACACCTCCCTTGCTGGTTTCTTTCTTTTTTTTTTTAAGATTTTATTTATTTATTCATAGAGACACAGAGAGAGAGGCAGAGACACAGGCAGAGGGACAAGCAGGCTCCATGCAGAGAGCCTGACATGGGACTCGATCCAGGGTCTCCGGTATCACGCCCTGGGCTGCAGGCGGCGCTAAACCGCTGCACCACCAGGGCTGCCCCCCTTGCTGGTTTCAAAGCGGCTGTGGCCTCCATAAGCATTCTCAGTGCCAATATCCCCATAATTTATATTTTGTGTCTCAATTCTGTCCATTTGATGTTGCTACCTGGATGTCTCCTAATTGCCCTGAAGTGTTCATGTTCAAGACCAAACAAATGCACCCACATAAATGCAAACTCCATGGCACCGTTTCTGTTGCCCTTTACCGCTTTGTCCCCAGTGCCCTGCTCGTACCAAATCCTCATTAAATGTGGGTCCAATGAATCTTCCACATGACATCTCCGTGTCTCTGGTAATTTGGTAAACATGGGACAATCTATTCAGTCAGTCAAGCCAGAAATTGGAATTAATCCTGGATCACCTCGCTTTACCTCATTCTCACATCTCATCAGTCTCCAAGTTCTGTAGGGTTTACCTCAATATTTTTCAAATCTGGGATCCCTGGGTGGCGCAGCGGTTTGGCGCCTGCCTTTGGCCCAGGGCGCGATCCGGGAGACCCGGGATCGAATCCCACGTCGGGCTCCCGGTGCATGGAGTCTGCTTCTCCCTCTGCCTGTGTCTCTGCCTCTCTCTCTCTCTGTGACTATCATAACTAAATAAAAAAAAAATCTAAAAAACAAGAAACTTTAAAAAAAAATATTTTTCAAATCTGCCTGTTTCTCTACTTCCACTGCTTGTCATCCAAGTCCAGGCCACCATTGTCACCCTCCTGGACCATTGCAATGGTCTGACTGGTTTCTCTTCATTTACTTTTTTAAAAAGAAAAGTTTTAGGTGTAACATACAGAAATGTACACAAACCAAAAATGAGGAGTGATGATTTTCCACCAAGCAAAGACAGCGCTTGCCTTCCCGGCCTACTCGGGTGCCCCCTTCTGGCCACTTCCCTCCCCCATAATTACCGACTTGACTTTCAACCATATAGCAAATACCTTTGGTCTAGTTTTGAACTTCATGTAAACGAAGTCACACAGTAGGATTTTTTAAAAGATTTTATTTATTTACTTGACAGAGCACAAGCAGGCAGAGCAGCAGGCAGAGGGAGAGGGAGAAGCTGACGCTCCCCTGGGCCCGACACGGGGTTCAAGCCCACGACTCTGGGATCATGACCTGAGCTACCCAAGTGCCCGCAACAGGATTTTTTTAAAGATCTTATTTATTTTTATTTTAAGATTTTTTAACTTATTTGAGAGAGTGAGCGAGCGCATGAGCTGCGGGGAAGGAGCAGATGGAGAGGGAGAAGCAGACTCCCCACTAAGAAAGCCTAATGTGAGCCTGGATCCTGGACCCCTGGATCATGACCTGAGCTAAAGGCAGACGCTTAAGCGACTGAGCCATCCAGGCACCCCTAAGATTTTATTTTTACATAATCTCTAAACCCAAGGTGGGGCTCAAACACACAACCCCAAAATCAAGAGTCACACACTGTACCCCCTGAGCCAGTCAGGCTCCCAAGGAATTCTTCATCTCACTTACTCCACAGTGGGATACTCAATCCACGTGCTGCTTGTTTCCTGAATGGTATTGCCTGTTGCATATTTGTTCACCCCACCTACCTAGACAGTGGGTGGTTTTCCGTTTGGGGCTACATCTAGCAGTTCTTGTACGTCTGGTGAGCGTGCATGTGAGTTACCGCAGGGTTTCTACCCAGGAGTGAATTACTATGTCACAGGATGTACTGTGGGTGTTCAGCTTCAGAATATTTGGCCCCACACTTGTCTAGAGAGCTTGTGCTGTTTCCCCTCCCACCATCTACAGACTCGTTTGGTGTATGTCTTGCCCTGGTCCTAGAAGCAGCCATTTCTCCAAGGGCCTGATTCTTACTACTAGTGATTCCCACCACCACACACACACACACACACACACACACACACACACACACACACACATACACACACTATAAAAATATTCACAAAGGGGGATCCCTGGGTGGCGCAGCAGTTTGGTGCCTGTCTTTGGCCCGGGGCACGATCCCAGAGACCCGGGATCGAGTCCCACATCGGGCTCCCGGTGTATGGAGCCTGCTTCTCCCTCTGCCTGTGTCTCTGCCTCTCTCTCTCTCTCTCTCTCTCTCTCTCTCTCTGTGACTATCATAAGTAAATTAAAAATATATATATTTTTTTAAAAAAATATTCACAAAGGGCCGTTAT